GAGCGTGGCCCCTTCTACATCACAGTCCAGGGCGGGGCGTAACCATGAAGAACGTAACCCAAAGTGGCAGCAGCAGGAGGCGTGAAGATCGCCTACCTTATGTTTTCCCTTCATTCTGCACGTGTCTACATCAGCCTGTCTAGATTTCCACGTCAGTTTCTGCAGGGAGCAAGAAAGGAATCAATTAGAGCCCCGAGGTTGTTGAATTTGATTTTAGAAGTGAAAGTCCCCTTGGGAGACCAGAGACTGAGCGCGTATTTACTGAAAGCTTTCTGCACCCCTGCGCCATGATTAATTCACCACCGCCACAAAAGATTAGGGCTGGAAAATGCTAATTTAATTTTGAGCTCCTAGTTTTTCATTTCACTCAAAAATGGTCTTCTTCTCTTTAAGATAAAGGAAAAAGAAAAGAAGAATAAACAGCAGTATGGACATTTCACGTAAAATATCCAAATTAAGCTAAATTATGCTCATTTTGATAAAATGCATGTCCTTGCCCTTCCTTTCAGTTGATAAATCAATTTTCATAAAGAACGCTGTTTCCTTAAAATATGGAAGTCATTTTCTTAAACATAAAGGGAACATTCACTTTAGGTGGACGAAGATTTAATGCAGGTCACACTCCCTCATGTCAATAAACGGCCTGAAGGGACCTTCCACTTGGATGGCACAGGTTTTTATTAACTAAAATACCTCCACGTGGGCTTGTACAGAAAGCTTAGGGTGTACTTTAGGTTCATCTAAAGTGGATCATGTTCAAATTTCTGAACCACAGCAGCCAAATCAAACTTAATAGTCAAGACATGGAAACATTTTTGAAATATCTTCGTGGGACAAAATTTTAACGTGTACAAATTGGTATTTTCCTGCATAAAAGTGGCAATATTATACCAGAGGAGTTTAGAAACTACCTAAAACTCCAAAATACGTACACATACAATGATGAATAAAATAAGAAGTGCTGCCCATTTCTGAACACGTGGTAAGCCCTAACCTATTCCCTAAAAAGGATTTCACAAAGTACCTGGTTGGCATCCCCAAATGATTACTAGTTGTGTCATCTTGAACACTGCATTTCAAATACACATTCCCTTCAGGACCTACCTTAAGGTCCTTCCCTTTAGAAAGAGAGTTTTAAAAAGACTTACTTTGCTACAATAAATTTCTTCTGTGTGTGATGTGTCTATGTCGACAGTATAAATATGGTCCCTATAAACAAAGAAAAAATGAATACAAGTCAAACACACGAGTCAAGACAGTTCATTTTCTGCTGAATGAGCCACATCTCACTCAGGGCAGATAAATGCACACTCATTTCAAAAACCAAAACCAGACATCCACAGGCAACGGAAGGGAGAAGTCGGCCTGCAGCAGGTGCTTCTGGGAACACGCAGCGTGTTCTGTGTGTGTCTGTCCTGGGCTCTTGCTCTAAGGAGCCTTTTAAGAAAACTTCCCTGCAGTCACTCCTCTGAGACCAGCACTGCTGTAGCTGCACCTCTGCCCGTGCAGCTCCGGAGGGAGGACTCTGGGAGCTCGACTGGCCCAAAGACAGAACGCGAGGGGCTCATCCCTCTGAGTGTCTTCAGTCCACATCCCAACCACTTGGCATTCGGCGTGCCATATTTGTTCACGGAGAGCACAGCAAACGCTGATCTCCATTTCCTCCTCTCCTTAGCAAATGCACTTGTTCAGCCCTAGTTCTGACGATCTGATCGACAAGACGGAAGATAAAGGTAAAATTATCTCCAGAAGCCACTCTTTTCTTCACAGGATGACGGTCGATTAAAGCCTGACGCATTCTTCAGCTAAAGTTTACGTTCCTTGCTTCTGTCCCTTTCCTGTTTTGCTGAGAATTTGGTTGTCTTTACAATTTGCTGCCAATCTCCCCCTGGAAGGGAGAACCAGAACCCGCAGCTCAGGTGTGGGGCTATATTTAAACATCCCCTTCTGTGGGAGCGGAGGACAAGGCTGTTTTTGTCTGGAATTCAGAAGAAAGAAAAGAACTCCACTCAACGGAGGAGATGGGGGGCCACTGAGGGAAAGCAAAACAGCTCATTTTCCCTTGAAATAACATTGAGTTTTTCTAAAATGCAGGAAGTCCTGGGGCTGGAAAATTACCCACAGCATTAAAGCAGGACCTCGAGGCCCCCGTGCAGACTTTCCAGCCCTCACTGCTTAGAAGCAAGCTGAGATGGGGGAGGGAGAAGAATGGAATCAGTCATTTGTAGGACTCACTTCCCTCTCTCCGGATAGACACGGATAGCTGTCAGAAAACCAGGATGCATTTTTCTATGCAAAAATGTCATATATATATATATATATATATATATATATATACACACACACGTGTATACATATATACACACACACACACATATTTATTATTTTTCTTCTAGTTCCTGGGAAATCTGTTTGCTATTGCTTTTAGAGAAAACACAACAGAGAAAAATAAAAATAGGCTCTGTTACTTGGAAATGAAAGGGGACTGGCCAGAGCACTTGGCTTACAGAATCCCCTGGCCTGAAGTGTGTGTGTGTGTGTGGTGTGTGTGTGTGCGTGTGTGTGTGTGTGTGTGTGATGGCAAGTCAGTTTTACTGCTGGGGCCCTGTTTGGTGAACTGCTGAGTCGGTAAGCATCTCCAGACTTCCACAGGGTGCCAGAACTCCCCTGCCCCTTAATGTCAAGGCAGTTTTATTGCATTCGTTTATTACTTATTTGGCTTCACTGGTGGTGCTGTGGCCAGGCTCATAATTGGAATGAAATTGCCTGTTACTTTGGTATCAGGTTTGAGAGGATTCCAGTCTTGTCCCGGCCCTGACTCCTCTCAGGACTTAAGTAGGAACCGAATATGTGAATTGTAAATTAGCAACTGATTAATATGCATTGGCAACTCCTCAGAAAGCTCTCAGATTGGCCCCTTTTGGCATGGACTGTTTATGTTAATTAGCAGTTTAGAGATTAAAAAAGAAGAGGCATTTACAAAGTGGATAATCATAAAGCAGAATTGAAAGGGGTTCTTGCCACCAAGCCTCACTCGGCCCCCAGGTTGTGGATGGGACTTGGCTTGAGATTACTGACGCCAAGTGTCTAGAACTGGGAAGCCTTTTTAAACAGAATTCCACTAATAAAATCTCCTTTCGGACAATGGTGATATTTTTCGATATCGGAAAGATCATGCAGCCCCAGCGAACAGAAGTGGGCTTTCTGGTCAACCGCAGACTGCAGTCGGGGTTATTCTCGATGGGTTGGTGTCCGCGCATCCCAGGAACCACGTGTGTTCTTCCTGAACGAAGTCACTTGAACACGCTCCGACTTAATCCCAGGACTTCCTCTTCCCCTCTCCTTGACCCAATGAGTTGGTTGCCATGGCTTGAGCCAGGAGGAAGGATTTACGTCTAAATCGTGTTACTTACTGCCTTGGAACCTGGGTCTCTCAGAGCAATGTGGGGAAATTGAAATTAAGTGGAGAAAAGGGAGCCCTGAACATGGTGGCCGTGGAACTCCTTGAGAATCGTGCCAAGGGTGGATGTTTAAGGCCAGGGCCTGAGAGTGGGTGAAAACCACGCCCACGATGAAGAGGCGTCTGCACGACAAGGAAATAAATAAATACACGGTAAAGAAAAAGTAAATGTGTTTCTTCTGTTTTGTCTCCCACTTCTTCTTGGTCCTCTCCTGAGGGTGGGGAGCGAGGAATAGCCACCTTGGGGTAGCGGTCACTGGTAGGCTGCCCAGAGCCTGCTCCGGCGCTGTGCTGCGGGCCCCGCGGCCTGCACTCAGGCGAAGTCACGGGTACGAGGCGGGCTCCATGCCCTTTCTCCTCCAGCTTCAATTACAAAGTGGACAATCCATGGGAGATGCTTGAGTCAACCCAGCGTTTGCAAATCCAGTGCTCAATTGTGTGTTCGGATCAGCCCGTAGACAACCAGGCACCAGAGTGGCGTCTCAGTCCTGGAGAAGGACCTGGGATTGGATCCGGAAGGTGGCTTCGGAGCCCCGTCTGGAATGCGACATTAGGCAGGCTGCCGTGAGCTTGCTGCCACGAACAGCATAGCGCAGGGTGGACCCCAGGCGGGCCAAGTCCCTTCACGTCTCCCACCGTCACATCCCTCCTGTGAGAATGAAGGATGGCAGCTGCTTCTCAGGTTTCCAGGACTGACGTTCAGGAAGAACTTGTAACTACAGATGCAAGTCAGATAGCACACACGCCTACGGAGTGCTCGGTAAGGATTTAAAAACATGGTCTTAAGTGTTCATTTCTCCCATGAGAGAGAGAAAGAGAGAGAGAGAGACAGGCATTCCCAACGAGGCCGCGCACCTGCTGCACGTGCGGTCAGGCCAGCCCGGGTCGCTGGGGGCACGCACGTGCTGTGTGTCCGGTGCCCTGGGCTGAGATCGGGCCTCCCTCGGGCACCAGCACGAGCAGTGTGTGGCCGACGTGACCAAGCGGGGTGCTGTGCGGGGTTCAGCTCCAGCCATAGTTTTGACTCCACGCCGCTCTGACCCCTCTGAACACCTCGCTGTAAAGGAGCCTGCCCTGCCATCCCTGCCTGCGCTCCTGCACAGACCCAACCCGCTCCTCGACCCAGTGTGACGGTCAGTCCGCGGCACTCAGGCAGGGCCACGGGACAAGTCGTACGGGAGTGCTCCCCCTGCTACTCCTGGAACGCTGCCTCCGTTTAAGTTTATTTACTTGTATATTTCATGAGTGTGGGGATCTTCACACCCTGATTGAGCCTGGCCTTTGGCCTGCCCTGGGTCATGGGCATGCCCCTGCCCCTGGACTTGAACGTAACCTTCCCATCTACTGTGTTCCATTGCTGAGCCACTGGCAGGCCCCCGTGTGAAATTTCTCTGAATGAGCTACATACTCAAAATATTGGGGACCCACACACTGCTGGATTCCCAGGGCCTTCCCTGAGATAACCCACCCCAGTCTGACGTCACAGAGGACACGTACAGCCAGTGAAGCTCTGGACCTGCTGAGTCAAGCGCAGGAGAACAAAAACCCATGACCTCTGCTTAGGCAGTACCCGCATCTCACCACACCGGCAGCCCTAAGATTCCGCCGGTCTACATGACATTTTCCCAGTCAAAGGGTTCTTTTGTTATTGTTGTTCAACTAGAGCCAAATAAAAAACCCTTTAAAAAAACCTTAGGCTTTGGGTCCACTGCCGTTCTTTCAAAGTAACGATACACAGTATACACTGGCTGTAAAAGGACAGGTAGGTCTAACACATGCACACTTTATTACACACGCTTATACATTCGACTTAATTTAACAAACAAGTCCCAAGAAGCAGAGCACTTACTGGACGCTTGAGTAAGCACTTGCATATATGTTCAAGGTGAACAGTGGATTACTTGAGTCTAGGCTCCAAAATGGGCGTTTGTTTCTATCTAAATCCATGTAAAGTTAAACAAATACAGAAAATCGTGAAAGAATGATTGCTTGACAAACTGAAGTAGCCTTTAAATGGAACACCGCTCTGGTTGGGAGTCCTGAGGGCTGAGAAATGGCCCAGAACAGGTGTGCAGGGCGGGCTCCCCGGACGTGGAGCTGGGGGGAGGCCGCTCACCTGGCAGCAATGTAGAGCGTTCTGTTCATGATCAGAGTCATCTGGATGTCCAGCCTGTGCCTCTGGGTGGTGTTCCGTCCTGGCTTGTGGCCCACAAACACTGGATACTGTTTTGTATCTGTGGAAAGAGGAGATGGCGCAAGAGAAGGAACAGCCAATCAAGCCAAGAATGGACAGGCCAGGGACAGGGGTCATGACAGAGTGTGTGTAAGGCAGGGCTCCGCGGCTGGGGCTGGGGAGAGGTGTGCTCCGGGGGGACCCGGTCACAGTCCCATCTCCAAACAACAACGAGCCTGTCTTTCTGTGTCGCACTCTCTGACTGTCCCTTGTCTGGGGGAGACTTGCTAGTGAGCCTGTGCAGGAAGGTGCTCTTTTCTTTCAGCTGCTTTTCATCCCCTGTCGATGCTAAGCCTGAGGGGGCAGGCTGCCAAGCATCTTGTCTCGGGACACAACTATTTCAAAGCGGCTTCCCATCCATCACCACAAAGCCAATGGGGTCTGGAGGCAAGAGTCCTCGTCCAGGAGCCAGAAGGAAAAGCCAGTCTCCACAGGCGTCCACTTGGAATAATCCACTATTGAAGGCAGCCCCGCGAGACGGGTTGGCATTCGAGGACTGTGGGAAGCTCGCTCTGGTGTTAAGCTATTGGCTCATCTCATGGAAATGTGGGCTCTGACGGGACAGGGTCAAAGCCAGTGTAGCCAGTCAGGTGACCTGGAACGGCCCGCCGTGGACAGTCCCCAGCACACGCCTTTCCTGTGCTCCCAGTGGCTGAGGGGCTGTCTGGACAGCATCTGGACTTCAGAGATACCTACAGCTCGACATCCCTCCGCCTCTAAACCCACAGTCTCCAGGGCACGGGCAGCTCTCCAAGCAAATGGAGGAGAGAAAAGATGAGTCCCACTTACAAGCAGTTGTGACCCAGGAGGGACGGTGTGATGAAAAACTAGCGCATCTGCAGACTCCAGGCAGACCCCTGCATTCAGACGTGACCTGTCTGAGTGTCACCTGCGAGGGGCCCTCCTAGACAGCCACGCATGGTCCCCGCAGGCAAGCTCGGGGCGTGGGCATCCTCTGCCTCCCTGCTCCGAGGCCTGTCTGTCGTGGTGAGGACGGCTGCTAAGAGTCCTCCCTGCGAGCGCAGCTCTGAGCACCACCGAGCAGCCCCCTGCACCACGGAACAGAGGAAGCTTCCCCCTAATGGAGATACGGAAATGCTGGCTAAGCCCCGGGCCCTGAGCTCGGGGGACTCTGCCCCTTCAGGAGGGAGAACCTGAACTACACGGGTTGGCCCTCGGAGCCTCTGCTCCTAGTTGTCTCGTGTGCCACACCGACGTCAAGTGACCTTCTCCACGCTGGGTGGTAATGGACCTCCGCCCCTGTCTTAATGTACGGCTCACTCAGTGTCTTGGGGACCATCAGTGGCAAAATAAGCATTCGGGAAACACGCTCCCTTCCACCTCCTCTGGGACGAAATGCTTGGTCTTTTGGGAAGGCGAGAAGTAACAGCCTTGAATTGGACGCCGCGCCCCACACAGGGTCTGCACGCCTTTTTTTTTTTTTTTTGGAGAGATTTTCACTGTAGGGCGCGTGCGCTCGCCAGACAGACAGAGAGAGACATAGAGACAGAAAGCGAGAAATCACCCCCCAGGGGGGATGGTCACGCCGCAATCCCTTCTCCTCCATTCTCCTCTCGGGATCTTGGGCACGCACGCACGCACATGCGCCCGGCGTGAGTTTTAAGCCACCGGGTCCGGGACACGAACTGCGGTCGACTACGTGGGAGTCCAGCGACATAGCCATTACGCTAACTGCTGGTTCCCTGCACGCCTTTGAGGAGGCAGCCAGTGTGTGATCGCATCAGTATCTACCCGACAGTGACACAGTGACCAAAAGAAAGTGACCAGCAGCTCACACCGGTGCGCTGTGAATTCCAAACCAGTCTCTACCTAAGCCTAGCAACGATATGACTTCTAAGTCTTAAAAAAAAGTTTTTTTCTTAAAGTACAAAACAGTTATCATTTTCTGCTTGTCTCTCGTAATAGTGCCCACGTATTAACCAGAGTTGAAAGTGTGCATTAATGGTAAGACCACGCAGCAGCAATTCTCTCACGGCGTTGGTGTAAGGCGTGCCCACGGCGACTTACTGCACTATTAAGGGGAGCCCGGTCCTCACACTCTGTCCCCACTGAGAGACCGGCCAGCAATACCTGCTCTGGCAGCTACACAGCGAATGTGAAGGGCGAGTCCCTGTCCTAGTGGTTGTTTTTGCTAGGCTGGCCAGGCTAAGACGTCGCGGGGAGACCCGAGAGACGGAGTACTCACAGTTGCCATGCGAGATACTGATGGGCTCGGAGTCTTCTGGGAAAGCAGCCCCCGCCAAGTGCAGCAGTGTGAGGTACAGCAGCACGGCTTCTGACCTCATAGTAGTTCAGCGGGGAGGCTTGATCGCTCTACTTCACCCTGCGGAGAGCACAGAGCTGCAGGTTTTTTTTTTTTGGCAAGTCAGTTTTACTCAATTCCACAAAGTGAAATGGCCTGGAAGATTATTTGAAGAGAACAGGGTTCTGCCTTGCATCTCGTCCTGTAATCCGACCATCTGTTTCCTAGAAGAAACCACTGCAGCCCTCCCCATGCACCGGGCCCTTGGCGAGGACAGCGTCTCTCACACTCCACTCAGAGCCTGAGCGCCTTCGTCCTGGGCCATCTTCAGGCTGTTATCCGTGAATGTTACAGTGTGACACTCTGCATTCCAAAGCCTGTGGGAAACTGGCAAGTGGCTTTTCACCCTACAGCTAGTTGCTTCACCTTTTCCATGCGACATTCAGACATGGGGAGAAAGAGAGAGACAGAGAGAGCCGCCCCCACAGGGCCCTCCCGCCTCGATCCTCCTGCAGCTGGGCGGCCAAGGTAGGGGCGCAGGGGCACCCTGCAGTGGGAGCCCGGCACCTTCTCCCCGGGGCGGCCTCAGCACCGGGGTGCGACCTTCTGAGGCGGCCCCTCCTCCACAGCAGGCGTGTGCACACCAAAGCCCACTGCCCCCACGTGCGTCTCCTCGCCAGCCCAGAGCTTCCAGGCACTGACGGGAGTTGCCACTAAAGTTTCATTATTTCTGGCAGACTAGATTTTCAGAATCTTTAATAAAATCAGAGTATCTTTCAGACTGACCTAAATGGCCGCTTCCTTCAGGCACCGTGCTGTCATACGCACACGCACACATGCATAGACACCCACACCCGCCCACACACCCACACTCAAATACTCCCACTCGCACACACACGAAACACCCACCCACCTGTACCCATCCACCCACACACACACCCACATGCAAATAGACACACACCTACACACAAATATCCCCCGCACACACACATGTGCACACACACATGCAAACACCCATCTACACCCCCCCACACAAATACCCACCCCCACACACCCACACTCAAACACCCCCAACATGCACAGACTTGCAAACATCCACCCACTCACCCACCCCCACATACACACACCTGCACACAAACATCCACACACCCACATCTGCATGCAAACTCCCCCCCACACATGCACACACACACATGCAAACACCCATCCACACCCCACACACATGCATAAACACCCACCGACCTATACCCACCAACCCCTCATACACACCCACACGCACACATCCACACACCCACACATTTGCATGCAAACAGCCCCCCACCTGCACACAAACACCCGCACACACCTGCACACAAACACCCACACCTGTGCACACACACACCTGCATGCAAACACCCACATGAAAACACCAACACATGTGTGCACACACCAGCATGCAAACACCCACATCCCCACACCCACCCACACACTCACCCACACACCTGCACGTAAACAACCCCCCACACCCCCCCACACATGCAAACACCCACACACACTCATGCAAACACCCCCCACACACACCCGCACACAAACACACACCCTCACACACTTACACCTGGTCTCATTTGCTCACTTCCATTACCAGCTTGACCCCTTGCTGAGATTTTCACTCCTGGTTTATATAATTCTACAGTGGTCTTAGACATAAAGCCACATATTCTGTGTTTAAAAATAAGTAATTGGGGCCCCGTCAGGTGTGGTGGTGGTGAAGGCAGCTAGACCCCACGTGGGCAACTATGAGGTCAAGTCCTGGACCCAGAGGCTTGGAAAGCACTCCGGGAGCATGTGCATGCATGCCCAAAGTCCCGAGAGGAGAATGGAGGAGAAGAGATTGCGGCGCGGCCATCCCCCTGGGGGGTGATTTAGTAACAACCCCCGCCCCCGTCTTTCTTTGGCTAAAGCACAAGCCTTATAGTAAAACTTAAAAAATAGAGTGGATCCTTTCAGACTCTGACAAATGCTGTAAAGAGAACCTGAGACCACAGTGTGAAACAGTGCTGTTGGTTTAAATCCTGTCTCTATATGGCTCAGTCTCAAACGCCACCTCGCACTGAGACGGCAGTGAGCAAAGCGCCCGAGACACCACGTCTGCGTTTCCCTGAAGATGCTCTTCACGTGGAGGAAGATTCTCTTCGTCTTGAAAATGAAAACATCCCATGTGGGGCCGCTGGATACAGTGAAAACAGTCTCACCGCACAGTAAACAGCACAGAATTCTCGGGCGGGTTCCAGATGAGCATTGATCTATCGGGAAATTAGTGTAAAATGGGGATATCGTTTCATCTTTCCGAAGCAGCCTGCCAAGACGATCTTTTTGAACAACGCTATCTTACAGTAGCTCCGTCAATCATGGAGGATTTGTGTGCACTGTCAAACTCAGTAACCTCGATGTCCTTGAAAGCGAATCTGGCAAACAAACTGCTAACTTACACTTCTGGAACGCCATTTAATATCAGATACCTGTGTCTCTTTCTTCATGCCAAAAAAAGCATTAACGAATCCCAAGTGTTGCATCGTAACTTATCATTTCAGAGCCACAGCTGGGTCTTAATCATTTCTTCAACTGGAAAGTGCACATTAATTCATTTGCTTCGTCTGGGAAATCAAAGAGGGAGCGAGGTTGAGGTAAAAGCCTGGCCATGCCCTATCGCCCTCTCTGGTGTGCAGGTTACAATTCAGCTGTAAATGATTCTGTGTTCACGACGGTGACCCGTGACCTAGGGATGCACACAAGCACTCGCAGAGCGCGTGGAGGAGCCTGGCCCCGCCCGCCAGTTCCTCCTCTGCGGAGACCCAGAGCAGGTGCAGAGGCTCCGCTGTGCTCTGAGAATGGAGGAGAAGAGATTGCGGCGCGGCCATCCCCCTGGGGGGTGATTTAGTAACAACCCCCGCCCCCGTCTTTCTTTGGCTAAAGCACAAGCCTTATAGTAAAACTTAAAAAATAGAGTGGATCCTTTCAGACTCTGACAAATGCTGTAAAGAGAACCTGAGACCACAGTGTGAAACAGTGCTGTTGGTTTAAATCCTGTCTCTATATGGCTCAGTCTCAAACGCCACCTCGCACTGAGACGGCAGTGAGCAAAGCGCCCGAGACACCACGTCTGCGTTTCCCTGAAGATGCTCTTCACGTGGAGGAAGATTCTCTTCGTCTTGAAAATGAAAACATCCCATGTGGGGCCGCTGGATACAGTGAAAACAGTCTCACCGCACAGTAAACAGCACAGAATTCTCGGGCGGGTTCCAGATGAGCATTGATCTATCGGGAAATTAGTGTAAAATGGGGATATCGTTTCATCTTTCCGAAGCAGCCTGCCAAGACGATCTTTTTGAACAACGCTATCTTACAGTAGCTCCGTCAATCATGGAGGATTTGTGTGCACTGTCAAACTCAGTAACCTCGATGTCCTTGAAAGCGAATCTGGCAAACAAACTGCTAACTTACACTTCCGGAACGCCATTTAATATCAGATACCTGTGTCTCTTTCTTCATGCCAAAAAAAGCATTAACGAATCCCAAGTGTTGCATCGTAACTTATCATTTCAGAGCCACAGCTGGGTCTTAATCATTTCTTCAACTGGAAAGTGCACATTAATTCATTTGCTTCGTCTGGGAAATCAAAGAGGGAGCGAGGTTGAGGTAAAAGCCTGACCATGCCCTATCGCCCTCTCTGGTGTGCAGGTTACAATTCAGCTGTAAATGATTCTGTGTTCACGACGGTGACCCGTGACCTAGGGATGCACACAAGCACTCGCAGAGCGCGTGGAGGAGCCTGGCCCCGCCCGCCAGTTCCTCCTCTGCGGAGACCCAGAGCAGGTGCAGAGGCTCCGCTGTGCTCTGCGCGTGCCCTGGCTTCGGCGCAGTGTGCCACGATCGGGAGAGGTTGAAAACAGGAGGGAGTGAAGCTCGAATGGGCAGCGGGCAGCAGGCACATTTCCGGGGAGAAAGCACGTGGGGAAAGCAAGCCCGTGACATTTACCCGTTTACCGGGGGCTGGAGCACGGTCTGCGGCTTTCTACGGAGGCACAGTGCCCGGGAACTCACACAGGCCGGCTCCCTCCCTCAGAACGCACGCTTCCTGATGTGAACAGTGAGGCTCTATCTTCCCGCGACTGTGTCCATCTTGCACAAGGGTCCTGCCAGGTAACGAGCCCGAGTCCCGCTCCTTCCCTCTATGCCCCGCTGCACCCCCCAGCTTCAGTCCCTACGGGCTGGCGGGGAGCGTGCACAAGACATCTGTGGTGCAGTTCGATGGCTTCTTAATCCTACCGCTGCCAGGACCAGCCAGGATGGTGGCTGAGACATGTCATTTAAACACCTCCCGGTTTAACAGGAGGGCTCCTGGCCAGGTACAGCAGCTACTTCAGGTGCCTGACTGTCATCCTGTCACCAGGCCGTTAGCACATCCATCCTGCGGTGAGCGTGTCCTGCCAGCTCCAGTTAGTCATGGCCAAGCCACGGAACACGCTCGAGTTTCCTCTGCTGAAGTTTCGATGCCTTGCCCTCTATTGACTCCACCTGGGGCCCTCATCCTTGTAAACATGGAGACAACGCATCTTCCTGCTGGAAGGAGTGCTTGCTGAGGAATCCGACTCATGTCCACTCACTTCATGTCCCCGTTCTGCCTATCCCACCAGAGATCAAAGCAACACAGACTAGCCTCAGCCCAGGGGGAAATACAACAGAAACAAGCAAAACAAGAGCCTTGCACTGAGCTTAGGAAGCCCGGAGTTAGCCGGGCCGCTGCAGTTCACACGGCTGTTTGATTTCTCAGATTTTGGAGAGTGCCACCACCCACGTGAAGGGCACTGAGGCATCTGTACACCTGTGCTGATCTCCCGGGACTGGGCCCAGACAGCCTGTCTGCGAGGTAGACTTCAGCAGCCATTCCGAAAACCAGACCATGGGAAGACGGTAAATACGGATGTTAAACAAAAACATTTACTTGAAAAGTAAGCTTGCATCTGAATTCTCCACCCAATTGTCTCAGCCTTCTTTGAAGAGAAGTTGCCTTTGGAAAATATACCATTACTATAAAGTTATAATCCTACTCTGTCC